ATGGATGTATTGTAGGACCTGATTGTGTTTTTAGTATAGTCGTAATGTAACATTTTTTCGCACTGCGTTTGCTAGATGGTCCACTGTCTTCACATGTTCCCTGCAATGCAGGCACATACCTTTCTCAGCTCCAAACATATTTCTATCTTGGAGACAACAGTATCTTGCTGCATCTTGTACAGTAATGTTTCTGTATCGTAGCCATATTGAAGAATCAGTTATTGACAAGAGCTTATTGCGAGCATCTTGTACTGTTTTGTATCACGATTGATTACTCTATACAAATGCTCTTTCTGAACTGTTAGTAAGTTTTCAACAGTTGGATTGACTACTAGTTGTATCTAATTTGAAAACAATAATCTTTCTTTGGCAGTACATTTCTTTAAATGCGATAGCCTTCGTGTGCTACCTGATCTACAGTTTCAGATTCTTCTGCTTCGGTTTGAGCAACTCAGCAGAGTCTATTGAATTTATGACGTGCTCGTTCACTGCTGTGCGAAAGTTTTTGCCACCAAAGCTTCATGACAGTTACATTTAAAAGCGAGTATGAAATTCATTCTCCTCGTACATTTATTGGCCTGTCTTTGGTATTTGTTCAAGAATTTCGCGTGCCGGATACCGGTCTATGAGGATTTTGTTTATTCAAGCCTGTCTTCTTTTCTGTGCTTACCTTCTACCCTGATGGCCTTTTCTTCCTTCTTGTGATTCCTTCATTGCACTGCTTTGCTAACTCATGCTGCTTTGCAATATCAGTCATTGATTTGTGGGGGATTCTATATGGCACATTCATACACTGCTTGGTTTGCTACTTCAAGTATGAGGAAGTCAATTTTTTCCAAAATTATTTTCTGTGTTCACTTTGTCTGGTATATCTCACGTCCCTCTTCTTGCATCAGTATCAGATACTTCTTAAATTCAAAATAAATTTTGGACTCGTGTATTATATCATCCATTCGTAGTTGGTGTTAAGTGTCATGACAAGCTTCGCTGATTCATTGAAATCAAGGTTCTGCAGAATATGTGTCCAAGTAAGGTTCTTAACCATTTCGGGAGGGTGCCGAGAGAGGAATCGCTCTTGAGTGTATTTTGTAATGCGAGAACGATTCAAGAGCCATCCTTCGTACATTTTACAAAGAGAAGTTTCTGTATACAATTAGTTTTCAAGAGGTGAAGAATCAAGCAAATTCGATTACTAGTAATGCTGGTTGTCTATGTTCGCAGAAGCAGTTCGTAGGGATCCTGCTGATACCTGGTTCCTGTAAACAGGTGGGGTGATCTCTCACATCCTTTACAAAGCTTTTTACAACCCCATCTGTTTCGCCACTGTTTTCTATGATAAATGTAGACTAGGCTTTTTGCTGTATTCTACTTCTGCTCGATGTTCAATATTTAAAGGTACTTGCATATTTAAAAACTAATTATCTGGACCATATTTTTAGGGCGTACATTTCATATTGACTTTTGCCGGTATTTCATGTTCAATATCCTGTTCCGAAGCATCAATTTCAGTTGTTGAGTGCGTGTAAAATGTGAGTAAAAAAATAAATGGCCACAAAAGAACTTTTGGAGCTCGGTTATTACTTTCACTTTCTCCTCTGTAAAGTATAACGACAAAATTGTATTATCACAACCTCATCTTATAATTTATGCTTTCAAGAAAATTCGTATTCTTGAAAAAATTTTTTCGGAAATTGGTTGCTAATTTTAAGTAAATATGGGACCCGTAAACTCTGTATGTTTAATTTGAGTAATTGAACAGAATTATCAAGCCTTTTTTCTGCAGTTGCATCCTTTATTTCTTCTACAAATTCACCTACAGCTTAAACTTATTCTCTTTTTTTCTTCATACCAGTAACCAAAATATTCTTAACAAGAGAATAATTATGCACCAATAACAATTTCCAGAACCTGAAACAACTCAGAAAAGGAAAAAAAGTAATCCTGGTATTCATGAACTTGCTCGTAAGTAACAACTGGATTTTTTCATGGATTGTTATGCAGTGAATTAACCAAAGTGGTCATTGTTCACTTTATTTCCGTCGAACTGGTCATATGTACACACATACTATACTTGATCGGATAATATATTTAATATATTCCGAATTTCCCTTCGTTTAATTTTTATTGTTGTGCAATATTTGCGAGCAATAGCCTGAAAAAGTGACTAATTTTTCAACTAGAAATTTTCTTTTTCAGTTTCCGAAGACTTATAGCTTTTACAATATCCACAAAGAGGGTGGCCATAAGAAATTCATATGTAAAACTGATTTCATCTGCTGTTGGAACTTATCAAGTTTACGAATCTCTCCTAACAGAAAATTGCTTACCATTCTTTCTGATGCATATGCTTATATATTACCCCCTACGAACTACCTTCTAATGTTAAGCGACCCCTTAATGATTGATGAAATTGATTAGGACTGATGCACAAGTTTCTCACGACCAGATTGAATCAAATTCAAATTAAATACTGCAGGTCAGTAATGATTACACTTGGATAAGTAATTTAATAGTTGGTAATGAAAGTGCCTGACATTCTAGTGACTTCAGAGATGCTTTAGAATAAGCTTTTATCACTAAGGATGCGAGATAATGGACTTAAGAAGTTCCTTTTCATTATTTACAATTACTTGGAAACACTGCCGTGGCAGTTTTGGAGTATAACGGTCACAAAGAACTATGAGAAAAATATTTCAAGATTGTCATTACTCCGACCACATAATAGTCAGACTTGGAACCTCCATGCAATCATTGACCTTGGTACTTACTTGTCCGCATTTCTAACTCTTCACATTTCCCCTTTTAAATGATCCAATCTATTTCAATCTAATACATTCACTTCTGTTTCCGCAGACATACTTTTCTGACATGCTTATTCATAAACATGACTCACTGCACTCTTCGTTAACTTCATTGCCTAAATGTACTCAAATAACTATATATCTCTTATATTCAATAATATCACAAGCCGATATTTCATTTCTTTACAAAAAATGAAAAAATTGATAAACTAGTTCCGATTTTTTTATTCACAATTAACTGAAACAAAATATCGGAAACAAATATCAAGCGAAAATAATATTTCCGAATTCTAGCAACACAGAACTTTATTTTAATACTTGATTGTAATGAATGCAATATGTATTGCAGAAATTCAAAAAACCCTTCAAAAATGAAGTATGATATTAACCGCTACGCACTCCGTAACATTGAAAAGTCAGCCAAATACAATTTGTATGGAATTTTTATGAAAAAAACAATAAAACTTATAACGATAAAAAACTAGATTAGTTTGACAAACATATGCTCCATAGTATCTTCTAAGCTAAAAATTCTTTTAGATCCAGTCTTACAACTTTGAAATAACTTTGCAAATACAGCATCACCTTTTGCATGATGTTTTATGTGTCCAATCGTATCTTCCGCCATCGATCTGAAGAGAAAAATCACTATGAACATTTCATGGAACACACAATGTAGAAAAGACCGTACGCGACTAACAACATTTCAATCTATTTTTGAAATAAAGAAATTTTTCCAATCGTTTTAAAGCAGCCACAGACTTATTACATAAATATTTTAGCTAATAAAAACTAACATAGAATTAAAAATTAGATTCAACAAGCAAATTTCGAACTGACGTAAGTCATACAAAAGTTGCCTAAATACATGATATAATGAGTGTAATTTTAAAATAAGAACAATAATTCTGATTACGGTTCTTATACTTCATCAGTCCAAATCACATTTGACCTTTGAAAAAATATGGAAGAGAATTATTACCTAGATTCTACACGCCCCATATCTTCGCGCGCTTGTATTAATGCACTGAGAAGTTCCACATGAATATCGGGAAACTTGCGAACTAATGTAGTTGTTTCCAAAGATAGTAAACTTTTATCTCGCAGACTTAACACGTCTGACAGGGCCACAAGAACTACTGTCAAGTCAGTAAACTGCAAAAAAGATTGCTTCAGACGAAAGTTCAAAAAATTAGAACACATCAACACATCGGAAACATGAACAAATCGTACAACCTTCAAGAAAATTCTCAGACTTCTATATAGTATAATTTTAATTTAAGAGAATATGCGTCATGAAAGAATGCCATGAAAGTTAGACAACACAATTTATTAACGCAAAAAATTAATTTTGATAATTTAGGAAAGGAATCATACGGTGACGTCAACATCATCTAAGAGTTTTGAAAAAAGTAGCGACACCCTTTCTCCATTACGTTTAAGTAATTTCGATGCTTTATAACGATCATCATAATTGGCCAGTGATAACCTTCTATACATGAAAAACTTGCAATAATGAGCTTTCAGCAAATCTCTATTTTAAAATATTGGTTAAGTGTTGAAATATATATTAAAAAATACTGATTAATATATATAAATGAAACAAGTTCTGATCTGTGCAGGATCAAAAAAAATAAAATGAGTTCTACCTGTTATCAATACCAATGATATATTCACCAACTATTTTATACTGTATTTCCATGAGTAATGCACAACGAATATGAGGACGAAGATGTTTGTGGTCATTGTAATAGTCAGCGACTGTCATACATATTGTTTCTAAGGCTGAAGACCCAATAAGCCTTGAAATTGAAATATATATATATAGGTTTAATTACCTACTTGAATTTGAGGTAATCGTGAATGATATATTGCACTTGATTTTGAAAGAAACACATTATTTTGTTCCCATTGCATTCTCTGTTCCACCTCTTTTTTGACGATGTTATGATGCGACTACGGAAGTAAATGGCGAAAATAAATGTACGATCAGTAGCAACAATGGTACTGACGGTCAACGACCCAAAACGGTGGAAATGATAGTAATACGAGAGAATATTCCAACAATCAAATAGATCAGTTATCTAGTGCTGAGAACGCGTTTCTGAAGAAACATCCACATCACAGGCGACTTCCAAAAAGTGAAAAGGATAGACTATAACGATAATGCTCATGCGACTCTTTGTACTTCTGAAGCAACGAAGACGAAACAAGGGAAGAAGGTGAAGAATGACATGCATGGGACCAACAGACTGTTGCAAAAAGGTTGAAATCAAAATGAAGAATTTTGTGCCAATTAACCGGAATCACGAACCAGCAGGATGATAACCGGCTCGAAGTATTTACTAGAGGAATCGAGGTTCCGAAGAGCAGCTGGTCAGCAGTGCTGAAGGCGGTTCCTGGCCATTTCGGGAGGATGCCGAGAGGAGAATGGCTCGTAAGTCGTTCTCTATACAGCGAGAATTCGCGTGCGCGTTTAGTTTCTAAGAACTGACGAAGCAAATGATGCAATCACTAGTATTGCAGGTCATCCATGCTCGCAAAAGCGGTTCTTAGAGGAAACAACGAAGCGTGTCAAGATACTTAATACCTATTTCAAGAAAAAAACGCTAATTAAATCTAAGGAAGGATTTGTTAGGGACAGAAGAAATCAAAGAATTCTGGGCCACGATGCGGAACTCGAAGACTAGAGATGATGGTACTCGACTCAACCAATATTTGGAACAACTCGTTTCAGATTATGAAGTGCATGATACTTTTCCATCTGAAGCCAAATTTGGGAAGATAGTTTTCTGTTTGCCCAACTGGAAGGCTGCGGGCTCTGATAAAGTCTATAACTTTTTCATTAAGAAGTGGATCTTTTTACATCCAAATCTATAGAAAATAACAGGAAAAATTTGTTTGGATGGGAAGAATAGGACTTATAGTTCTACGAATGCACGACGTATATGATTCCTAAAAATATTTTAAGCAAAAGTAGTGACTTCGGCCAATAACCTGTATGTCAGACCTTACAAAGTTGCCAAACAAATGTGGCGGTATGCAAAGAACATGGAAACCAGCTATATACTTCGTGGTATGATGCTAAAAAAGCGTTCGATTTAGTCAGCCATAGCTACCTGATTAAGTGTATTGAAAGATTAAACATGCCAACGTGAGTCAGCAAGTTTATGAGAAGAATCACTTCCATATGAGTAGTTATATTAAAAAATAATGAAGAAAATACAACGATGAATTCTCCACGGTGATAGCCTTTTTCCACTGCTATTCGTCCTGTGCATGGATCCGTTGAGCCGTCGGCTCAATATAAGGTACCCAAAGGTAGCGGTTCCAAGGAATGCACATTACGAGTCATCTGTTGTTTGTGGATGATCTCAAGATCTTTGCGACCGATGAGGATATCATAAAATCTATGGCTAAAAAAGCTGAAAGATTTCTTAATGTGGTAGCTAGAAGTAAATCCAGCAAAGTCAGCCACTAATACCGAGGTATGAGCTGATAAAGAGGCGCTGTTGGAAGGAACTCAAGGGTACAAATATCTCGGAATAGTGGAAGACAGGACTAGTGCACCTACCCTTGAAAGCTACGATAAAGTGAGCGCAGAGATTTTAGTGAGAATTGAGCGGTTGGCCAGAACTGCACTAAATAGCAAGAACTTTATCAAGATAGTGGACAGGCACGCCATAAGTATAATAAATTATTATATTGAGGTGCTCAAATTGCAACCAGAAGATTTTAAAGAAACTGACCACGATATCAGGCAGTGACTAAATAAATACGGAATTCATTGCCAACCTACATGCTTGGGATGATTGTACCTGCAAAGGAACGAGGTAGGAAGTGGACTTCATAATGTTGAGCTTGCTTCTTCAACTTCATAATGTTCTTATAGATACTGCATCCATATCTAGCAGAAGAACAGCAATTTTGAAGGAGGAGAAAGCTCATTACACGTACTTAGCAATTACTGTACCCTATCTAAAGACTAGGTAAAACCTCGCTGAAAATCCTACCGTTGAAAACGTATTAGCAGCCCAGAAGGCGTTCTTGTATAGCGAAGCAGAAAAGAAAACCCACCATGCAAAGCTATGGAAGATGCGGACGAATAAAATCTCGTCTATAGTTAATTCATCAAAATGGCTGCGACACGGAAACATTATCCCACAAGATGAGATTTTGGAAGCATTTCCACATATGTAAAGTCAATCTACCTAGGACATTGTAACAAATGCAAATATGGAAATAAGAATATAAACGTGAGTAAGAATAGCGATCGAAATTAATGCGGACTGGTTGAATATCCTGATGTACGATAAGATGTGACATCAAGTAAATTTGTTACAGATTGACATCATCAGTCTGACAAAGTTTAACATCATTGCACAAGCTGATAAAGAAAATATGATACACTGGCTAGTAAATTAGGAGTCGAGAAGAAATGCAGAACCTATATAATTTCTTGCATAGTAATATATGAGTTCGAGCTTTCATAAACGCTAAGATAACATAATCAGTATATCTAGTCCCGTAGAGGTATACGTCAAATCGGAAGCGCCGAAGAAGTCACTTAAAAGCGTTTTATTTAACCGCGGATTCAAATTATGAAGCAACGAGGATCAGCATAATATAATAGAGCGCAGAGCGGTTATAACAAAAGTGCCAGATCAATAAAGCAGCAAAGAAGATCAATTTGTGTGTGATATTAATTGGTGTATGCATAGCTGATTAGAAATAATCTCATACTTGAAAGTTCTTTGGTGATCCCATCAACAAACAAACTTCAATAACAAGACTATTGTTTAGCAAAAGACTTGAAGAGCTGAGAGTTACATTCAAGTGCTATTAAGTACTTGAATGTAACTGAAAATAAACAGAATCAAAAAATAATTTAATTATGTTTATCCATAATTATAAAAGGGAGTGAAAAACTAGTACCACTTTTTCGTTAAAATTTCAGCAAGATGTGGAGAAATATCTTCACAAACTTCATCGAGTAAAGTACCAATACTGAAACAAAAGACTTTATCCTATTAAAAAAAAGAGAAAAGAAGTGATCTAGAACATTTATAATCATGTTATCCTAAACATTCACATTTGAAAAGCAAAAATAATGAGCTAAAAATATCAAGTTGCTTGAGTACATCCATTTCCTGCCTTAAACTTACGTCGATTGCAGCCCAATATTCCAGCGCTTCTTCAACTGATCAATTTTATCGAGCAATGTTTGTCTAGAAACAGTCATTATAGACGAGCTTTTTTCAGCATTTGAATCTGACCTTGAAATGTCTGCTTCCATGGTCAGTCGAATATGCTGCTTCAACCTCTCTGTTGAGTCGGCACATATATCAAAATTATTGGCAACTGCTATCTGTAGCTAACATGATCTTCATAACTAGTTTTTTTCAGTAAGAATGGATTCAAATTGGAAAGAGAATTAACAAAAGCACAGGTTTTTATTTATCAGGTTAAAAATAAAGTTACTTTGAACCAGACACTAAAATAGAATCCTAGCACATTTTTAAATTTTACCATTGTTGCGGTGAATTCATTGAAATAACTGCGATTTTCGAAATGCTTCGTTTTATAAGCTACAGCAGCATCTGCGAACATCTCGATCTTTATTCAAGATCATTTCCATAAAAAATAAAAACTAGGCTACTGAATCCCTATATTTATCTGACTTTAACAAAAACTGATGGCAGTAAGCTAGTCGTAAATACAAACTTAATTAAATTACGATGTGTGGCTTTGAAACTCATAATCATCCCCAATAAAACATTCATTCTTTTACGATAAATGCTATCACATTATTAACAAAGGTATGGTTCAAAATTTTAACCTTTATATTTGTTAGCAAAATTTAGAAATTCTTCAACGCTGGCTTCTACAACATTAGGTATTATATCATGAGAGACTTCTTTCGTTAATGAAATCTGAAAAAAAATCGGATTTGCAATCAAGAAGAAATACAACAAATAACCTCGAGCAATAAGGACTACCGTATCTTCGATCATTCCAAAAATTATGCTTGGCAACTGTGTGTAGAAATATCCTAATCTTTCTTCTTCTGGATGTACATTCTTGTACCAATCCTGAAAAAAATGTTGATGCAATTTAATAAGACTACATAACAAAATGACGTTCAAGTAAAATAAACCAATACTTTCAAAACAAGCATAATCTTGAAGTTTCTGTTAGTTTCAAAAAGTCTTAATCATGAGAATGAATTGCACTTTATTAGAACAAGCTTGATAATTTTACTAACATCCTTTTCCTGCATTAAAGTTTTCTCTAACCATTCGCGCATATCTTGTCGATTTATTTCGATGAATCTAAATTAAATCATTCAACTATAAAGCCAAATTAGTAATAAATAGAAACTTCTTGCTATTATATAGTTATTAACGATCCTACTTATGCCCACAATTTATGCAAAATAAGTAGAACAAGTAAACAGTTAGTAACTTGCATTGTTATGGTTTTAATTCAGAACATACCTATCACAAAGTTGAGTGATAGTGGATTTTGACAGAAGAGGATGATCTCCCAGTAATGCATTAACATTGATTTGCAATCGCGAATTTCCCAAAATCTGTTCACTTCTAAACAAACATAATTATAAAAACACCATAACAGTAGTGAGTGTATAACATACAGACTAACCCATAAGAATTGACCCAACTAAGAAGCTGCACCAGTTCGTTCTTTTCCAATCTATCAGAAGCAATTTCACGAAGCTGAAAGAATTCTGTAATGAATTGGGACTGTTTTCCAATAACTTAAAAAAACTAGTAGATAAACTGTATAGTCAGGCTATCTCAAATTTTTTTGAGAAAAAATTTAAAATGCAATGAGAATAAAAAACCTAAAAAAACTAACACGTCCTGACAAGAGATTATGATATATTGATACAAAACGGTCATAAATTTCGTAATAAGGTGGAAAACACGGTGAAGCTGCACTTTTTGCCACCATCAAATCATTCACAAGCACCAGGCGACATACCTCCAAATACCTGAGAAAAATTTACTTTTAAAATGGATAAGTTGACCAGGAATTCTGAAAATAATCCTGAATATCACAAGAACAGTGTCAGGATCTAAAAAAAACAATTTTACATTTGTGTGGCATATATCACAGTCCTTGTTGACCATCAATCAAACAGTAATTTAATTCAAATAATCCCTCAAATCTGAAATTTCGAAAAAACAAAATTACCTAGCAAGCCACTGCTTGTTTAAAGACCGGTCTTCTAACTGATTACCCTCAATTCGTTGTTTTACTGTGCTTGCAATGACTTCCAAACATCTACTTCGCCAATTACGAGGTCTACCAGGAGGAATGAAGTCACCAGAAGAGGGTCGTCGCTCCATATAATAATGATCAATTCTTCACCAATAAAAAATAGTTTATAACTGAATATAAAATGAAAATAAACTCAGACTAATAATTCTAATAAAAATTGTGATGTACACAACATACTAAATATTATAAAAACAATAGAAGCAAAAAATGATTACATTCAAGAAAATCATGTGGTTGTTTTACAAGAAAATTTTAAAAGTTGCATTTTATTGTATTTTATATTTTTCTGGATTGTTCTTCTTTAATATTAAAAAATTGAACCGATAACTGCAACTAGACAACAAAATAAGAACCTTGCAATTTTCTGAATCATAAAGTTAAATAAACTAAGAACAAAAAATGATTTCCAGTACCTTTCTTCACGCTCTATAATACGAAGAGCAGTGACCAATTGTATGGGGCCTTGTTCTGTACCACATACTGCTTCCAAGCAACGAGAACAGACATACCACAGCTGCTTTGCTAATTCGTGAACGACTTTTTCGAGATCAGAAAAATATGATTTTAAAAGCTGAAAATTCTTCTGTAAACAGAACAATAGAGATAAGGACTGTTCTACAAACATTTTTTTTTATTTTCCATCATTATTGGAATGGAATATGTATGAAATCGTATTAGTATATATCTAATGCAAACTACACTTTCCTTTGGTTCAAGAACACATTTTTCTTTATTATCAATCACCTGTCCTACTCTGTCAATAAAAAATTACTGAACACACAAGCATGTTGGAATTACTGAATAAATTAATCTCTAGGACGAAAAAAAAAAGTTATCCCCATTAATTGATACTCTTATATGAAAAAAAAAATTTCGGACAGAAACATGCATTTTTTTCGTAGTCAGTATTACTTTGCTTCAGCTTGTGCACTTCATACATTAAATCATCACGAGCGTGCTCCATTTCCATAATACTACAAGTAAGAAGGTTCACAGAATCAACTTCTAGAATTAGAACAACGGTAACTTCAAATACGAATAAAACTGTTTAGGGGGAACACTATAATGAATCTGTCGGTGAAAAAAATGAGCAAGGAAAATGTCATTATACTAACTTTTTATGCGCCAAAAGAAGTCTGCCATCTTGAATATACTCACGCGTCTTATCAATTGTTTCATTAATTTTATGAATGTGTTGCAAATGGCCTATTGCAGTAGAATACTGACCATTTTTCAAGTTTGCCTCTCGTAATTTCGCCATTTTCTTTTTCAGTTGTGGAAAAGCCAGTAGAGTGACATAAATTTCTTGCAAGCTAAAAATCCACAAAGGTTACAGTAGATCCAATTATGTTTGCAAGTAAATATAATGCATAAGTCTGATAAAGATAATCAAAAATGGAAAAGTAAAAGAGCATTCAAAAAATTTTTTATAACACATTTAGCATATAATAACGTTCAATAACATAATATTGCAACTACCATCACGACTCCTACGAAACAATATCTTTAAAAGCCTTATAAAAGACTGTTACAAGCTTTGAAAGAAAAAAAATACTGCAAGTTTTAATAATTTAAATGCAAAAAGATATCCGTTGTTTAAACACTGTTTTTTAAAGTGTAAGAAATGATTTGGTGCGAGGATTGAAAAGTTAAAAATGCTCCTACTTTGTCTCAACACCTTTGATATCATCAACAGTTGTGGACAAATGCCCGATTGCTGTTCGAATTCCTTCCAATTGCGATTGCACCCCAGTTCGGAGCATCGCTTCCACAGCAGTCTAAAGTACTCTCTGAATATTGTGAAGAATATTACATTATAGTTCTAACTAAACATTTCAGTTAGCTAGTAATACTCAAAAAAAAGTCTAAAATCTTTAACGGATCGAAGAATGCTTATTCATCAACTTACGTCCGTGAAGAGATCGGATGATAGACTCACTAAGTACCGCTGTGTGGTATTTGAGTAGCTGTGAGGAAGTAAATGCAAGTTCTCTTTTTCGTAATAACAAAACTGATCACACCTTTTTCCGGTCAGCTCTTTTCTTGAACACATCTATTTTTTCAAGCTGATCAGGTCTCTGGAACATCTGCGCGACTTGAACTAACGCTGCTGCATGTGCCTCCTTTTCAATCGCCTCCGCATCCATTACATTGGCAAACTAAGTAAAAATGAATCTTCCTAACTAACTGCAAGTTCCAAATCTCGCTTTTCCGTTGTAACAGCAATATTATGACCCAATAACTCTTGATCCTCCCTGTCCTTCCCATGAACCTTTTCCCATTTTCTATCTACTACACTCCACATTCTTTTGTACCATCTGTTTGTTTTTGTGGAATTTGCGCAACAAAATATTTACTCAATTTCGCGCAACGAATGATCTTTTTTAGTTCTTTTGCTCTCTACTCCCTCTTCGTTTGTAATGTCCCTCTTTTCCTCCAATTTCTGCAGCATCAAACGCTTTCGACAGTCACCAACCATCCGGACAATTGCAAATGTTTGTGGCACTGCGCTCTGGATGGCCACTATTAACGGATACATTTGAGGTAATTGAAGATATCCGTTACTTCCGTTTCGGAATAGAAAGAATTGGTAGATAGATGTCGGTTCTATGATTGCCAACTACCTTGAGTTTTGAGAAGGAAATTTATTTAAAGCACCAAGTGCAAAATACATTAATGTCATCGTTGTAACAAACTAAACACTTCAGTTATTTATTTTGCATTTGCATAAAGACGTTTATTTACTTCGTCAAAAATCTTCGTTGAGAAAATTTCCGACAATCTGAAGATCATCACTGATACCAACATGTTGCCTTGAAAGTATAACAATGTACCTTATAAAATTTTTAGCAGGACTTATGATTAGTTTGATGGCTTCTACATCCATGACATATCAATCACTTATTTTATATTTACAACTAGGTGCAGAATTCCTGAATGTTTGTTTGAAATAGGTAACAACTGGAAGTAAATATCCAAAAACTGAAAATATTTGAAAATATAATTCACAATTACCACAATTCCTTGTTTGTAAATGGGGAAAGTGGAATATTTTAAGCATTTAAAAAGGATAAAAAGATGTAAGTGTGATTAGTCGAAAAATGTGCACCATAGTAATTTTTAAATCAAATACTGAACCTTACTATGAAAATCTTCTGAAATATCTGATATCACTGAAATATATTATTCCCAATTAATTTTGTCTATTAAGAGGTACTATATTTTGTTATATTCAACTAAAAACCTTACATATTTAGAACCCACATACCAAAAAAGTTATTAATGCAGTAATATTCGCTTACAAAATTTACAAGTGAGATTTCATTTGCATCAGTGTATATAATGGGTATGGTATTTGAGACTAATCTGATATGTAGACATCGATTATCGCTATTAATGAAGTAGCAATTTTACCTGTTATAAATTCTTATCTTAAGGCAGTTTATTTGCTGCAATTATCGTCTTCGAAAATAGTAGCAATAATGCGTGCAAGTATTGGTAAAAGACTTTCTTTTTAAACTTTAGTAAATTCATCCATTATTTCATGATCAAGTATTGAAATGACTCATGAATCCACAAAATAAACTTATAAACTTTCCCAAGTGCTGGAATAAACTGTTACATAACTTTAATTTCAGCTTTGTCACTGTCACTATTACCATTGCCAGATCTAAATCTCGCAACGAAAAAATCAGTGAAAACTTTTTATAAGTTTGTTTGATGTCCTCATCCTCGTGTTCTCGCTAGAAAAACCAAAGATTTTTTGTTTTGCGACGTGACAAAGACGCTGATGTTAAATCAATCTAATCTTTTTCTTCCAAGATGAATAAACTAATGTGGGTTAACAATATATCGAAAGTTTATCTTTATTTTCAAGTAAAGGTCTGCTTTTTAATTTCCGCAAAAATATGAAAATATATATTATATTTCCTGCGTCTCAGCAAGAATAATTGTAAAAAATGCTTTAGGAATTTACAGAAGGAGCCAATTCAGCTCTGAAAGAAAGAAATATTAGCTACACCACATCTGAAGAAAGCAGTTATTTTTGTCAATTCTCGCGCTTTTAGCAATTCCTCTTATATTCTTGACTGGAAGCCTGTAGTGTAGAAATACATATTTAATAGAAACAAACTCTTACATTTGGATTTGGATGACGCACACTAACATTCATAACATAATGTCTTCCATTGTACAAAATCTGTGATCCATATTCAGGAAACAAAAACATAAGAAACATGTTTTAAAAAATATATTAAAATGGCATCTAGCCTGACCGAGTACTTTATATGCTCTCGCTCCTAAGTCAGCTGTCTTTTATAGTAATAAAAACGCTGACCCGCATTTTTTGTCAACAAACATATTTAACATGCTCAATCCATTGATTAAAGATCCCAAAATTGTATTAGACAAAACGTAAACGAAACAGTGCAAATGACCAAGGACACAGCTTCACATTAACCTTGTAAAAGGTCCAAACATACCATTTCCTGACAAAATCTTAGCTAGCTCCCTCCACTACTACCCATAAACAACGCCATTCCCTAAACTTATATGCCTGAACTGTAATGTACCTCAAATCTAGTGCGGTATCCCACAGAATAAATCAAGCACGGATGCTATACGACTAAGGCAAAAAACATAGTAGAAATGAAGAGGGACAGAGACTGCTACAAAAAGTATAGTCATTATAAAAAGAGTTGAGGGTAATTCATGAAAGAAAAATGTGATCAGTTTAATCATCTGTTGCAATAATTCTTATAGGTCTTCGAGAAAGTTAGAGTTGTTAGTCATTTTATATTATGTTTTAGGATTATTATCAGTTTCCATCAATTGTTATAATCAGAACTGTACTTCAAGATGAAAAGGAAAAAGAAATCTATGGATAATAAATCTGATTGGTTCTTAAGGAAACGTAGGGGGTTCCGAGTTGTGCTTCCAGTTGGCCAGCAGATACCTTCATGTCTTCATGGTATTTTTTATTGTTCTTAATATTTACGGGGTTGTATCGGACTGTGATATCATTATGCACAAGAAATATACATAGTTGCAACCCACAAAATTGCGTTAAATCACATCCTTTACTGCATGTAATTGAGGATTTGACGCTAACTGTCGTAGAAAATATGCGCTGTTAATACTATAGTATTGATAGAATTAAAAGATGATGCATATTCCACTTTTTTATCGCCAGTTTGCAATATTTTAAATAGGTTGTCAGAGTTCAGTAATATTCCTATATATCATATGTATCTGCAAATCATTTTTTGTCTTCAGTCTTCCTATTTTCAGGGCCTTGTTTGCTATTTGAGCGCAAAATTGATAAAAATAAAAAGGAGAAATTTTTCTCGTGTGCTGTTTATCGATCTCACAAATGCTGTTCATTCCGATTAAATATTACTGGAGACATTCCCAGATACCATATACTGGATAGATCAAGTATTTTCAAAGCTTGCAGTCGTACTTATTATTATGCTGCGATACGAAAGAAGTATTACATTTTAATTCTATAAATTTTATAAGTTTTGCAATTTTGTTCTTCAGTACTTGCTGAGAGCCCATGATTTTAAATTTAATTCTGTTTAATTATCCGTATTTGCCTGCTTAAAGATATAAAATACTTTTACACTCTTGATTTTTGTTGACTATATAGAGTGCTATGTCATGAGTATTCGTATGAAAATAAATGAAGAATGAATTGTTTATGAAGTGTTTATTTATTTCAGTGAAATTATATAGCAATTTCAGATTTTTTACTTCGCAACTAAAAGCATATAGTTTAATGAAAAAATACCGAAACATTTTTTCGCATTTGCTATTACAGAGTTAATTCACTGAAAGCAGGAAATAACGAAATATTTTACTGTACAACTTGCAATGATGTCTTTACAGCGCCACATATTCATGTTGTCAAAGGACCTTTAAAAGTTGCAGATATACGAAAGCCTTCTCAACTTTTCTCAGCTTACACTCAAAAGAGTTCAGAAAGTGTACGTCTACTTTAACGATTTTTTTTGACTTCTTGAAGTTGTTTAATTTTCTCCCCATTGAAATTTCTTTTATCATTGTGCATACTTCAGTCTCGATTTATATGCTGAGAATTTAAATAAAGTTTCTCGAATGACGGTATTTCAAAATGCAATTTTTAGACATATAAGTTTATAAGAGGTCTTGAGATGTAATATATGATGTGCTCTTGCAGAAAATTAAAGTATCTGTCTTCTTTTTTTTGCTGAAAAACTAATTTTGAACCTATCAAAATTATGATTTCTTTTTCAAGTCCAATTTTTTGCAGCAGTTTTGGTTTTCAGTGGAGTCATTGTTGTTATTGGTTAACGCTATCGAAAATTTTGGTACTGATGGGGTGTTGTGCATCGGAACTCCAACAGTATTTGAATATTTTCAAAGTCAAAAAATACTTCGGAAAAATATTAAATCATTTTTGCTGGACATAGATGCTCGATTTGTAAGGTTTTCTATATTATTTCTTGATAACAATTATTTTCAATCCCATGGATATTTTTTATTATTTTTTGTGAAAATATTAACCGAAAAATTTGCTCTAGGGAAATGCCAGTTATTGAAGAAAAAAAAATTTTCATGTAAGTTTGTATTCTATGTCGATTATGTTTCTAATGTAAATTATATTTGGCAGGAAATAATAATATAACGTCAAGAAATATGCAAAATTTTCAGGCACCATTTTGGCGTTCTAGTCACTTTGCAGTATATAGCATGATGACAAATTTCTTTTTCGATCCAAAAAGTCTTGACAAACTAATTGTATTTTTCAAATCAGTCCACCATTTAGTGATAATATGTGATCCTCCTTTTGGCGTTTTTATAGAAGTTTTAATGGAGTCACTAAAGAAACTTCGAGAGCAGTTCTTCAGTACCAGAATGAAGGATTGGAAGTATGATTTGTTAATAATTTTATTGTTTCTGCACTTGTTTTGTTTTTACCTTTTTGATTGCTAACTCACACATTGTAGTGATTCGTGGTGCAAATATATCATCGTTCTTCCAATTTTTACTGGCAAGCGCTTCTTAGTTGGCAATGAATTTCATATGTTGGACTATAAAGTAATTTGTGTTGCTATTTTTTATTTTGCATATAATTTATTTTATTCATCTTGTATGTGGTTCATCTAATTCTTTTCATATATTTTAGGTTCAGTTTTTCTCATGTAAAAATTACATAGCTTTGTTTTGATTGCTACTTTCGTTGATATTTGTTTTTTAACTTCAGTTTTTCATATTCCTTATAACAGTAGTTCGTTTTCTGAGCGATGTTGAACTCATTTAATTGGTTTTTCCAATTTCGTTAATTTTTTACTGATTCTACAATTTCTTCAGATTTGTTATGTCAATCACTCAAGATATAAGCGATCTGAAAAATCAGTAGTTCGTATTTTCACCGATCTTCCACTAAAGGCCTTTGATCTTTCGAGTTATCCTGAGTATAAGTCAGTAAAGTTCTAGGATAAAGTTTTAAATTTTTGAAGCATTTTCTGTTTCTGTTTGTAACAAAATTTTTAGGTTTGAATGTTAACTTTATTATGCAGCTAACCTTCATATTGTGTTCCAGGTTTTGTGACAAGTGTGATAAGTTTGTTGCGAAGTCTAGTTCTCACTGTAATCTCTGCCACGAATGTCCTGCGGAAGTGAGCAATTTTTATTCACTTGTAATCTTTAACTGATTTTTGTTATTAGATTCATTCACTTTCAGTAGCATTTATTCATGGTCACTGTTTTTACTTTCAGATTAATATGTCCAAACATTGTTATGAATGTGGTCGATGTGTGAGAGGCACATACAGGCACTGTGCGAAGTGCAGTTGTTGTCATTTACCTCGACGATGTTTGGAAATTCAGAAGATTGGCTGTAAAAGTAGTATTCAGTTACAGAAATAAAGAGACTGCAGTCATTATGAATTATTATATTTCATGACTTCAAACATCACTCTGTATATCGAATTTTTTATTGATTAGACTTTGCAGATCTTTTATAGTAGAATAACTTAATCTTTTTGTATCATACTGTCAAATTTTTTAGACAGAGACTTTATTTTATTTGTGGGCATGAACCATGACTCATTGTTGTATGATTTGAAATCTGCACTCTAAATTTTTTAGGTGTTCTTCTCACAAAATTAATGTTGCTTTGCTTTTCATGCACAACTTGAATCGAGTTTAATAATTGTGCTTCTCATTCTTTTCTTTGGTTGCTTTTATCTTGTAAGTTCTGATTCTTACAAATAAATTAAAAACCGAATAATGATTTTTGTCAGGATACAAGTAATAAGTCATTTTTCGGAAATTATCGCTTATTGATCTAAGTCGCCTTTCTTTTTAGTAATGAGAAAATAGCGGGCGAAGGTAAATAATTGAAGGTATAATTCTTTTGTACATCAAAAATTGTACATGAAGGAACTTATATAGACGCACCACTAATATTTGAAAAATACCAGTTTATTATTACGAGTGGTGGTTAGTTGATAAGAAGTTCATAGAGTTTTTTTCGAAAATTATATTTGTGTAGTTTACCACCATCTTGACCTTCTGCGAACTGGGGAGGGAAGGGTGATTGCAGTTTGGAGAGATTACAATGCTGGATAAATGCTTCCATCAGAGAACAGAGACGCAAGAGACTGTACTGCATTATGAGGTTTTGCGTGTTTTGTTCCTATTATTAAACTTGATGTTACATGGTTTCAAGTTATTAGTGTGAAGAATGATAAAAGCTCCTTCTTCTACTCTAGAATTTGTTACTAACCTTTGCTTTTCAATTGTTATTTGCGATTATAAAATTGATAATTCGTTTTCATTGACGAGATCGATGTAATTACTGTTGATCAATCCTTAATCTATAAGTAAGGTTTGCGAAGTACATAGATATTTCAAATTTGTTCCATTAGGAAGACACTCTTTCAACAATAGAAATAGAAGATTTAGGTTTGCATTGATTAGATAAATTTGAGTGTTGAATTAATTAAGACTTTTCTTTGCTAGGAGGGACTGGAAATTATGAACTGCATTGCTTGCATCTTCTTCCAAATCGTTTAAAAAGGGAATAATTGAGGCATCTTGACTGAGCGGGTTTTGAATCAGAGAGAGTCAAGGAATTCAGGCGATACATATAAGAATGCGAAAACCTCAAGCGAGGATTCCAAACAAATTTTAATCTTCCCAGTGCATTCAGGTAATTTGCGCAGCATACAATAAATGCGTTCATACTGAAGAGTATTGATAGCTTTGGCTGAGATGTCAAAGTACAGAGAATTTTTTTTCTGTCGATACATTAATCAACAGTTCAGTTTTGAGTAACTATGCAAGATGCAGATGTTACATATGCAAAAGCATGAGTAATCATTGCAGCGTGTTTGAATGAATGTGTAATGAGCACGTGTAACTCTAAGATCACTTTCTATACTGACCTAGAAATGAAAGATAGGGCATTTAACTTACTCTAACACAACTCGTGGGACAAAAAAGAAAAATGAAAAATTGTTGTTGTAATGAAAATAAAAGTGTAATTGTCTTGAATTATTGCTATTTCACGACTGTCAGATATTAGTGTTAAATTCTTCGCGTTAATTCTATAAAGATACAGTAAAACGTGTGAACCAAAGTTCGACTGAGAGTAGCAAAAATCTGATACCTTGGCTGTTTCCTCCCGCTAGAGTTGAAAAAGACAATTTGGTTGAAGAATATTCCAACAGCAGTCAGAGAAACGTAGGAAAAGTTCAAGAACCTGAAAGTCAAAAGATGGAAGTGGTCGAAGTAATAAACACTGTAGTACGTAAAGAGGTGCGTCAGCTTTATTGCAGACAAAAGAACCAATGAAATTTGCATCGAAAAAAATCAAGGTGACGGCGCATAATTCTAGACATACATTGTTAGGACTGCCACTTTTAAATTGGAAAGTTTTTCAAATGTCACACCATTTTCGACATATATAACGTGCTTATAAATTTTTGGTTCACAAATGCAATGAAAGAAAGGCTTAACAGTTGGAACACAATGTATGACATAACAGAAGGAGAGTATGTTAGAAGTTTATATATTGCCAAGTGAAGCAAGATAAAAAACTCGAGGATAATGGATAAAAAATTAAAAGATACACCTACAAATTTTTAAGAATTTCAAAATTCTGGAAAAAATCTACAATTTGACATCGCTTACTGACTTCTAATTTAGTGAGTGAAGCTGATCGCTTTAGGTAGTTTAAAAATACAATTTTGGATTGAAGTGAAGTGTGTTCATGGAGGTTTATCCCCTGTGAGATCAAAATTCTGGAAATAAGTTGGTTTGGTAACGCAAACCAAGTTTTTCATGAGTGATCTCCAATACCACTTTTAAAAATTAAAATTTCAGTAGAGAAAATCTATGTATTTTGAATATTGATGATTCGCTGAAGCGCTGAACTAAATATTATTAAAGGAATGCTCATTGCGATTTATCATTTACTTTTGAAAAGTGCTCGCTGTAAGTCGTTTGGTTCGTTCTTCACACTTGCTTTAGAAAGCCTTATCTTGAGGTGATTCAGTTTCTGTAAATTGGATGCAATGGGTCGACTGCCGGTGATAATGATTTTAGGGGATAATGATTCGTTTTCGGTTTTTTAATTATCATAGTCAATGATAACACTTTCGACTCTCACTCTTAGCAAATCTAGCCCTTTTGTCGACAACTACACTGAAAAAAAAAAGATAGATCACATTGCAGTGGTTATCACTCGAAATCATTTGAAATAATATATTTAAAAGGAGATATTTTACTGGTATCATTATTACGAAGGGTCAACGCAAGATGAGCAAACCGAAAGTTGGCATCAATGGGTAACTTCTTATTTTACATCCTTGTACATGACTTTGTTAGGAAGCGTTGAGGTTGTTGAAGTTTTGTTTGAACTGAGTTATTGTTCTAAAAATTTTAGATTCGGTCGTATTGGACGTCTCGTGCTGAGAGCTGCTGTCGAAAAGGATACTGTTGACGTGGTGGCAATAAATGATCCTTTTATAAACATTGACTACATGGTTTGCTTTATCTGCTTGTTATAGGGATTCAAATTTTCGAAATGCAAGTAACACTTTAGTAAAACTTCAGCTTTAGACGCTATTTAATTTAATAATGGATGCGACATACAAATCTACTCACGTTTCGGATACACTAATTCTATCAAGGAACAGTGAAGATGCCGATCATTGTGTAATTTCAGATTTACTTATTTAAGTATGATTCTACTCATGGTCGTTTTAAAGGCACCGTAGCTACCGAAGGTGGCAAAATTGTTGTCTCTTTAGATGGCAAAAACACTCATAGAATCGTGGTGCATAACAGGTAATGAAGTAATAAACAATGAGCTTAATGTAGTCAGATTGAAAATTTTTTAATAATTGCAATAAATACTGCAGCAAGGATCCGAAAGAAATTCCATGGGGAGCAGATGGTGCTGAGTATGTAGTAGAATCCACAGGGGTTTTTACTACTACTGAAAAGGCAAGTGCTCATTTCAAAGGCGGTGCCAGAAAGGTCATTATTTCTGCTCCATCTGTTGATGCACCGATGTTTGTTATGGGAGTCAACCAAGACAAATACGACAAGGCCAACAATCATGTTATTTCAAATGCTTCTTGCACAACGAACTGCCTAGCACCACTTGCCAAAGTTTGTCAATTGAAAGTGTAATACTTTGTAGTTTGATACCGAACAGATAGTAGGTATCATTAGTACATACGATTTGTTTCAGGTCATTCATGATAAGTTTGGTATTGTTCACGGCTTAATGACTACTGTACATGCAACAACAGCTACTCAGAAGACTGTTGATGGTCCATCTGGAAAGCAGTGGCGCGATGGCCGTGGTGCTGGGCAGAATATTATTCCTGCTAGTACTGGAGCAGCAAAAGCTGTGGGAAAGGTAGAAGATAACGATAAGTATATCTGAGAGTACTTTAGTATAAAACAACTTTTCGTTAAATCTTTTTAGTACGAAGTTTTTGCACGCATATAAAGAGTACCATATACATCTTTTCAGGTTATTCCATCTCTTAATGGTAAACTTACTGGTATGGCTTTCCGTGTGCCAACTCCGGATGTCTCTGTAGTTGACCTCACTTGTGTATTGGAAAAATCTGCTACAATGGATGCAATCAAAGCGGCTGTTAAAGAAGCGGCCGAGGGATCACTGAAGGGTATTATGGACTATACTGAAGATCAGGTAGAAGTAACGCATATTTGATTTTAGGGAGCTTAAACTATTTGTAGCAGTTTCGCTTATTATTGAATTTATCATTTATGTGAATGGACGTCTATATGTGAATGGACGTCCATATTCGTGAAATTATAGGTCGTCTCAACGGATTTCACGGGTGATCCCCATTCGTCGATTTTCGATGCCAAAGCTTGCATTGCACTCACGCCAAATTTTGTCAAACTGATTGCATGGTATGACAATGAATTTGGATATAGTAACCGCGTCATTGATCTGATATCATATATTGCAAGCAAATAAGCTATTGTAATTATTTTGGAGTTGGGCAAGTATGAACAAAATTAGTATTTAAGTCATTCATCTATCCTTTCTAACATGAGCACAAAAATATTCTGCAAACAGTACTTTTGTCACATAAATAACCAATTGTGTTATAAGGATTTCATGAAAATAAATTTGAAGGTACACTTATTGAATAATTCCGAAATATACTGCCATATACATAAGTATAAATTAAATGCTTTCTAACCAGTGTCGCGCGATGTCTAGATTTTTGTGTGGTAGTACTGAAGAAGAAGAGATGAAAATTAAGAGTAGCCATTTAAATTATTGATTATCAAGTCATCTCTGTCATCCTACTATATCTGCCTCATTCAAGAGCAATATCTTAGTTTATATTTACTTGCGTTCATTCACTAAATGATATTTGTTTGAATCTAAAGAATAATAGAATCACAAACATAAAGGGATATTCGACTCGTAGGTTTAAAAATCAATCTAGTGACCACTCACTAGGAAAAGAGCACCTAAATCCTTTAAACCTGAGCTATCATTAAGGACTATAAAAAACGATTAACATAATATGAAATGAATACAAGTTTGTAAAGCCCATTCATTTTTGTCTGCAACACTGTTTTTGCAGGTATTGGAGTATACAAAGACTTCCGTATGAAATTTGAAAGTAATAGTAAAAGCATGAAACAACTATCAGTTAAGCTTAATCACTGAAATTCAAGTAATCATATGCAAAGCGAAAATAATTCTTGACTTTAATTTAATTCCCTAAACATTGTTTCCTTTCGGTCAAAAATTGGGATGATTCTTCAGTATATCAACTAAATAAAACTCTTAAACATTAAGGCTGATCTTGCTGTAACTTGGTAAGAGTCGCGTTCGTGTTTGAACTTTTCTGTATTGCCAAGAGAATCTTAGCTAATAAGGAGGGAAACAACAAATATTTAACAACATAATCATTTGGAAAATAATAAATTAGCAAACTGCACAGAAACAGCAACAAAATTAAGTACAATGAAAATGGGATTAAATCAGGTATAAGGATAATCCGTGAGTTTAAGAGTCATGAAAAAACCCCAAACAACCTGAAGTAAAAGAAACCAAAAATTATCCATAATCGTGCCGTAAAACGTGGCACATAACATTACAAGAACAAATGATACTATACATTCTATTAAGATTACACACAGCAACTTACAAAGCAATGAATAATTGGGACGGCATTCCAGAATCTTTACAATTTGGTTTTTAACACTCATGAATATTAAATCAATTTCTAACCTTCATTTATTAATCCATTCATTCGCTGCAATGGTTCAAAATTTTGTCCTGGATACTGCACAGTATTGCAAAACTAAAAATTTCGGTTGCAGCAGATTTGTCAAGTGATAATTATACTCGCGTGGCGCAACGCCATTTCCAAAGAATCAACAAAGAATAAATTAAAAATAGTGTCAAAACCTAAATTTTATGCAGCGTGAGAAACCGTTCTCGGATGAATCACAAGTGATGGGAACTTTCGCTTCTAAAATAATTTTTTTTATGCAGTGAAACAAAAACAAGTGCACTATTTGCTAGCTTATTCACTTCTGAATTCTAAAGATAACGATTAAACTTCCAATAACTATTTGAATAGAACAAGATAAGTCGTGCGTGTCTCATCTTTAGAACGTTAAAAATTGCTTAACCAACACAAACTCGGCTCCAATTAGAGATATCGAATTTTGACCCTCTGACACATCTTAAACTTTCCGTAGCGATACTTTGTGCAGCCACTACTCAGTGAGATTGATTCTACGACGAGTGCTTCAAGCACGATCATTCTGCTGGCACCTGGTTCAGTAAACTGGCAGTAAGTTCTCCCACAGAAAGATGCACAAGATCTTCTGTAGAGTTAAACGTTCAAATTTGATCAATGTGCAAACGATTAACCTGGGAAAAGTACGCTGTTTTACGGCCAATTTTTCTTACCCTCAACATTATTCCTTATAGAAAGAACAACTGTGGCATAATTAGCATATTTCTGCCTTTCCTACTAATCTTTCTTAATCGTAAACGACGTCGTGTACATCGACAAAAGTGAGCCAAACGGTTTATGCTTTTGTTGGAATAAATGTGAAGTGTTGATGTGATTACAAATATTTTTCTGCGAGTACGTGAAAATTACTTCTCAGCATAGCTAAATGCTATAGCAAAAATCTATCGAGTAATGATGCTATTTCATATTACCGATTCGTTGCACTGCCTAGAACAAACTTTTGCTATCAATCACTTACTCAACCCTCACCACATTTTTATACTCAAAACCACACAACACAGAGAACTCGAAACACTTGAAAAGACTCTAAGGATCTATTCAACAGTTATACAAAAAGTACTAAAATGCCTTACTTTCTCCAGTAGTCATAAATCACATTTTCACACACATCTGTAATCCAAGTTAAGCACTTTCAGTTTTTCCTGCTGCACTATTGTATACGAAACTGATCAAAAAGATTCAAAAAATGAATCAGCAACACGGAAAATGGATTGTGAGTTAGTCTATAGTCATGGTAATAAAAAATTAAGAGGACGTGGTTCAGTATTTTTATCAATGATTGCGGTTATGCCCCACATTATTGAACGAAGGATTGATTGTTCTTGCCGAGGCGTGAACTCTGAGCAGCACCAGGGTACTTTCAAGTAAAATGAAAACTCGATAATATAAATGTAAAAGCTGTGATGTCCATTTTCCACAGTCAAGGATTTATCATTTTTGAAGACCAAAATACCACTACCCATCTTCGACTCACGAAGATGTACTCGTCACTTGCGACACTAAGTGTCGTAACGAGGAAGACCTTTCGAAATGTAAGAGTACTTACTTCCCAAAAGATTTGCATGACAATACCTCGAATCTGACAACAATATAGCTTTGTTTGTTGACTAGAATAAACAACTAAATATGCCCTAAAAACCCACACCACATCATTTTCTAGGTCTTTTTCTCTCCCATTCATCTTAGTTACTGTCAGTTATGTAAGGAGAAAATAGAGATAACTGTTCTCCCAAAAGTCTACTACCTTGAAAAATCTGTCTACGTCGTCATGTATACACATCTAATCAAGATAGCAAAATATGCACCACCTGATTTTCTAGAACTGAAAATCATGACAATTTCAGCCGAATGACCCATTTACCCTGCTCACACATTTACAGAAAAAAACGTGACAGCACTCCTCACTACCACTCAGAAGCAAAATGCGCCATCATTTGGAATCGAAGTTATGCCAAAGAGCGTTCATATTAACTCTAATTCTACTTCTCAATTGGTAGTAACGCCTTCATATCTTGCTTACTTGACTTACACGTGCCTAAACACTGCACAAATTAAATCACTTTATTCAAACTACATGAGTTCTCAAGGATCAAATCAAAGGAACTACTCATGAGTCAGTAACACCAACCTAAAAAAAATGTAAGCACAAACTAGTAATATTCATAAACCTGATAAGAACCTAATCTTGAAACCGGACAACCGTTAAAATTAAAATAATTTGAATCTATAAATTAATCAATAGATCATAAAAAGCTTCGCCATACCAATCTTCATCATGAATACTATTTTTCACTATCCAAAAAATTGCGGTAGACACTAAACGCGTTTACCAGCAATATATGAGATAAGATCAACGACACGGTTGCTGTATCCATACTCATTGTCGTACCAAGCAATAAGCTTTACGAAGTTAGCATTCAGAGAAATGCATGCAAGAGCATCGAAGATTGACGAATGTGTATCACCGATGAAGTCTGACGAAACAACCTGAATGATACAATAAATTCCAGAACTAAAATATCGAAAAGGTAAATTTGCACTAAATTTCTCAACTTCGGAAATATAGCAGTGAAATTAATACCTGATCCTCAGTATAAGCCAGAATGCCTCGCATTGGTCCATTAGCTGCCTCTTTTATAGCTGCTTTTATTTCTTCCATTGCTGCACCCTTTTCCAAACGGCAAGTGAGGTCAACAACTGACACGTCTGCAGTAGGTACGCGGAAAGCCATGCCAGTTAATTTCCCATTCAAATCCGGAATCACCTGGACAACAAATCTTGAGCACATGGAATGTAACATGTAATAGAGAACATAGGACATACCCAAGCAACAAATAAAGAGCATTTAACCTTCCCAACAGCTTTTGCTGCTCCTGTACTTGCAGGAATAATATTTTGTCCAGCACCACGTCCATCACGCCACTGCTTCCCGGATGGACCATCTACAGTCTTCTGAGTAGCTGTTGTTGCATGAACAGTAGTCATTAAACCTTCAATGATCCCGAACTTGTCATGAATTACCTGAAATTGGACAAGTACGAAGCTTCTTAAGCAACCCACACTTCGTTCATCTTTGTGTAACACACATTATTCGCTTTAAAGGATATAAATAGAAAATATTAAAAAAAAAAAAAACTGAAATCCAAACCTTGGCAAGTGGTGCTAAGCAATTTGTTGTGCAAGAAGCATTTGAAATTACGTGATGTTTTGCTTCTTGATACTGATCATGGTTGACACCCATTACAAACATGGGTGCATCCGCAGATGGGGCCGAAATAATGACCTTTCTGGCACCACCTTTGAAATGGGCACTTGCCTTCTCAGTCGTAGTAAAAACACCAGTTGATTCCACCACATACTCAGCACCATCTAATAACCATGAGATTTCAGCAGGGTCTTTGCTGAAGAATGACCCGTTCTTCTGACAAAGTATTCATGGATATGCTAACACATGATATTAATACATGTCCTAAGAGAGGAGAAATGTTTCTTTTTTGTATCTCACAGAGAGAGATAAAGCTAATATACATAATGATAATGAATGAAAATCCATTAATGATTGAAAGCACTGGTAGAAAGCTTGACATAATTAAAGAGAATGCTGCAAGAAGACTTAAAATACATAACGGCATTTCAAATAAGTTTTTATCTCGTAACCACATACTGCAGTTACATGTATGCAGTAGAGACCACAGATTATTTCCTCTAGTACGTTTGTCCAAATCAATATGTTATGTGGTCTGCTTTTTTTCAGTAAACTATAAATTACTAGTAATTAAGGCGTTTCACCTGTTGTGTACAGAGATGCGATGAGTTGTTTTACCATCACTAACCACAAGCTTCCCTCCCTCAGCAGACACACTACCTTTGAATCGTCCATGAGTAGAATCATATTTGAACATATAAACCTAGGAAAAAATCCCTCGTGATTCATCAGAAGTCCATTATGAAAGTACAACTAATTTCTTCATAAGAATTTCGATAAATTACGGGTAATCGTACCTAACGAATAAACAAGAAAATGCAAAGTCTGACTGACCATGTAATCAATGCTGATGAAAGGGTCATTAACGGAGACCACTTCAACAGTGTCCTTTTCAACTGCTGCTCGTAAAACAAGTCTACCAATGCGACCAAATCTTCAATTTTACATAATTTTCGTGGACACAGTAAATATGGCTATTATATATATATATATGTATGTATAATCAATATTTATCTACAGCAGCTCACAGTAAAGGAAAACTCACCCATTTATTCCAATCTTTGGCTTGCTCATGATAAAAAGCTGATGTCTGGAAGAACTGAATATATGCCTCAAAATAGAAATTCATGATCTTCACAACAATAACGAAACATACACAGAACGTCCTAATTACAAATGCTTGAGCAATAATTATATAGTAATGAAAGTACAGAGAATGCGCAACGCTAAATGATAGATGCAATCGACTACTCGACTACTGTTAACATGTTTTATACTTGCGTGACAGGCGGATTGATACAAGAGTAAACATTGAAATTTTGACCTATGAACTACAACTCATAATCATTCCCGAAACTTACTTTGATGTGCGAACTAGTCATCAGCAATTGAGTTAGAACCTCAGGCTAGTTTGAATTTCAGACTAAGCTTACATAAACTACCAATTTGTCATCCACATGTACACCTACGCAATGCAAGAATATGATGGTGTACACATCAAGATGCCCGATGAACTAGCACAATGATGGAAAGGAGTGGTAGAGTACCACAGTGTTAGGGAGGTAATGGTAAGCATGGACCACCCTGCTAGCACGATCGCACGAAAGCCAATGAATTCATGATAGAGTAATCCATACTTGCAAATCTATATTCTGCATCTCTTTCTCTGGCTCTCTAAACTCGTTGTGCAGAGAAATAACCCGGAATGCAAGGCAAGAGAGAAAAGACGCCAACTGACTTTGTGGTAACAAGTGTGCGACGTAGGCGTAAAAATTCTAATCCTACCCTTCTTTGCCTTTTACTGCACTGCACTGCAGTCCTCTTTTCGAGTGCAAAAACAGACAGTTACGAGCAGTGGGGGTATGCGATTGGTGAGAGAGGGTTGCGTAAGGGAAGATGCTAGCAGTAAAAAGTAAGCCGCACTCTGCATTATGCTAGAAAAGCAGAGCTGGAAGAGCTAGCAGTTACCAGTTTAAACTAGTAGTATGCAGTACTTCCAACTTTTATTTTCCTACATCCCCCTGTTTCCATGTGACACACGTACGATGTCATATGTGCAGCGTGTGATCGATCGCTCGGCTCGTTTTTCTCTGTAGTAATCAATGAAGTGCGAAAAGATATTACGGGCAAGTACTACATTTGTATGTACTGCTAAGCATGGAAAGACTTCTCATGTTAAGAGATAAAACTACACCTGCACTGCTGATGGAGATACCCGTATCAGTAAAACAAAGACACACGTGAAACAAGGCATTGGAGATGAGAAGAATGCATCTGAGGGCTAGTAAAACTGCAACAACGTCGGTTTGCTATTATTTGTTCTTAGCTTGTGCGTCTTGCTTGTTGTGTATTTCCTCCACGCTTCTACGGCCATCTGACTCTGTGGAGTTTTCTTTGTGGCATTCTCTTTTTACGCCTGACACTGCTTGTCAAAAAATAGCAAGAAACAGCAAACATTACACCTTTGGCAAGAACAATTTTTCATATTGTATTTGTTATTCGCTCGCTCTCCCGTCTGTTCCTCTCCTCTTCCAGTTTCCTTTCAGCACTCTTTTTCTTTGTTTCGTGACAACATCATAGCGTACTTATCCATACTGTGTTACGTGACCAGTAGAATAGGATACTAAGAATTAGCATACTGTGAATAATCTCATCATCGTTTTTATGGACAAGACGGAGGAAATGTCTTGGTATATTCGTTGCGTAACGTAATAGCGTACATGTGAAAAATTATGCAAGCTTGATTCTAGCTTTATAACAGTAGATTCAAAGGCTGAAATGAGCAGTCTGTTATGCGTGTACGACATATAAAACGTATTTGGTGATACGATGTTTTAACAGTAGCTAAATATTTACAAACCAAGTGGTGGAGTATCACTTACACATTCTGGTGGAAGCAAACTTTATGCATGTAATGTCGTTTGTGCGCTCACTTTAACTTATTAAAAACAGTACATTTCACGTGAAATGCTCTCTAATATTTTAAGGGGCCGATTTATTGGTTATTCTGGCTGCACCAAAATTGGAAGAGTGGGGGTATATATGAATCGACTAATTGCATTTTTCTCGTTTGTTTTTTTGTTGAAATTTGATGTAATCGGATTTTGTGCATTTACTGAAATATTACTTGTGGAGTTCTTTTTTAATTGTTGCCATTTAATTTTTTCTACTGGGTTACTCACGAGTTTTCAAAAATAACCAACGGTCGTGACTCAGCAAGTACGGGATCCAGTAAGTTGTTCAAATAACTGACTGGAACGGCTTCATCTACGAAGTTCTCAGGTAATTATGCTGTTCTTTCCCCATCGCTGTTTGCATTAAAGCAATCAGGATTTTGGCCTGAAATGTGTTATGCACACATTGGCTTGAAATGATCATGAACTGATTTCAGGCCACAATTTTTTAACAATATATAATTTACCTTTCTTGCATTGTTCTGTTTTGCAGTCAGTAAGTTTAAAAATTTCACATTTTCACAAAGCTTTTAATCTCGTTAAGTGATAGAAAATTGGAATTGCTAATTTTCATAGATATTTCGTAATTACTCTATTGTAACTTAATAAGCATATATATATATATTTGTATACGGTTTCATTACTTAGTGAGAGTAGTAATATTCTGAGAAGATCTATGCGTATTTTGGGATCTCTTATGTGAAATCAGTATTCCTGTATCTCATTAATTTAATTTTGTGTCTTTTACCAACTCTAAAAGTTAAAGGATAAAGGATAGACTACTCAGTTATAATTCCATTTCATTTATTTTCTCTCATTTGGTTTACTTCAAGATCATATCACAAACCTCGAGTGCATGTCGCATTGTTTTTAAAGATATGCAGTTTTCGCTTCATCCGTCGTGCCTCATATTTCGACCACGTGTGGAATGAACATATCTTGCTTACATTTTACTTGTTTATCCTGTTTTTGTTATAAAACTGATTCAATCATCAAAAAGTGTTTCAGCACAATTTACTTTTGTGCCTTTAATGGAATATCAGATATTCACAAATATTTACACTCATGTTGAAATCAGCTCATGTGGTGTTTTTTTGAATATGGGGAAAAAGTTTTGTTCTTATTTGAAGATCATAAATCAAGTTGAGAAGGTTCTAGGAAAAATCGTTTTTCAATGTTTCAGTGCTGGCTTCATTTTGATGCAATTTATTCTTTGCTCACGTCTAGTTCGTTCCTTAGTCCCATTTTCTAGAGATCTCCAGGGTAAAAGTTGGATTTAATTATTTAAGTATTGCGACCTAAATTTTTTGACTGCTTGCAGCGTTTTCTTCATTTTCTGAAGAATGAATTCTTTTTTCCTAAAATTTGTCATGAATCAGCAGAAAATTTTATCTTGTGTACGCTCGTTGTTATCGTTTATCTACACAGTGTACAAGCAAAAAGGAAATTTGTGTTATTGCACTACTAGTGTTACTTAATTTTTTACTTTTCCATGAAGTGTTTCTTACTAACAGAATGCTCTTGCTATTAGAAATTCATGTCATAAATTATTTGAAACTTTCCTGATGGGGCTATATTACTGCCCTGCGAACGTCAATGCAGCTTGGAAATGTCACATTGCGTGGTTATCAATTGAAAATTTTATTTCAGCATATATATGGTTTGTTTTGCTTGTGCAGTTTGTTTAAGAATAGAACCATCTAGGTGACATTAGATCCAAAGTTGCCCTTTTGAGATCTATGTCGTGTGTGTTCAAATATGTTGAAATATTTTCTTCAACTATAGTGTAGGATTAAGTCATTTTTTTCTCTGATTGAATTTAAAATGTTTCATTTTGGGTCAAAATATTTTCGAGCCAACAAAATATATGATATGGATATCAGTTGCAAGTTTGGAACTGAAAAAAATGGGATGGCAGTAAGCGACTTGAAAATTTGGAAAACATTTATAGGAATTTTCAGTACTGTTAAGAAATGAGAGTTATACTGCATGCTTTGTTGTTGGTAATGTTAATAAGACTTGGTGATATCGAACTAGTGAAAAAGACAGTTTCAGAACCATGGATTTTTAATTTTCTGTGATATGGTGCTGAATCTTTTTCTATTCAGGAAATATTAGCGTTTGGTCTTTTGTTTACAATGAAGATTCATAGTTGCAATGGCAACTTTCAGAAGTAGATATAGTGGCACCGTCCATTTTATTTCATGTTACGCTTTATTATTGTGAAATTTTTGCATCCAGATTAGATCAACACTGCTATCTGAATTTTAATTTGTATGCGGTCGTAATACAGGTTTTTGACTCTCGTAATTACATTCAGAGTTGGTTAGTGTAGTGAATTCATTTAACCTTTAGGTAAAGCTTCATTTTCCATGTCAAGAAATGAGTAGATAGGTAACGAGCAACTGCTTACTTATTTGTAGGGATAAATCATTGAGATCTGTCATTTTTTGATTTCAATATTTATAGCTCTTCATATCCTCATACTGTTACTCTTAATTGGAAGTGTCAGCCCTTGCCAGTCATTGTTTAAAATGGAAAATTTTCATAGAAGAATGGTTAATATGATTTGCTTATATGCTATTATCGTATTATAAAAAGTCTATTTTAGACCTTATATATTTACTAAGGTCTAAGCTAGGTAAGTTGAATGGTATAATGTGGAAAAAGCGTAATTTCTAGTCTTTCGTATTTTCGTGCAATTCTTCGTTCTTTTTATTTAAGTCTAATTTTTTAAAACGTTTTCTAGAACAAGCAAGACAGAGGTCTAGTTTGCATTATTGCAGTATTGGATCATCATCATCCAACACGTCACCATCAGATTCATCATCACGTAGTTCGGGCGCTGATCGCGCCCATCGTGAACAAAATACGCCACTGCTACCATTACAACCTGCTTTAAAGCAGTCAACTACTAAGAAGGTAGGCCTGCAGTAATAATAATAATAATAATAATCATAAATTCTTACCTGTAATAAGAAGCATAAGTTCTGCAGTTTTACATTATTCTCGGGATGTCAGGTTATGAATACCAATTTCTATTCGAGTACTGTTATAAATTTTTTTTTTCGAGTACTCTTATAAATTTTTTTCATTCATTCAGCTTCATCGAATGAATACAGATTGTTTCCTGATTTGATTAATGTTTTTTCATTAATTTTTACATTCCAACATTTAATTTGTAAACAAATGTTCAGTTCAAGGATTTATGTCGTGGTCAGCGATCAATGTCACTAGGTAGTGCTGCTCATGAATCACTGATGGCAGCTGTTGCTTCAGCAGCGCAAGGTCCCATGCATACAGTGGATATGAGCCATGGGGAAAACGGTAATGCAGTGGTGATTACAGACTGTAAACAAAAAACCTATCATGAAAATCGCTTTAATTTGTAAATAATGGGTAATAATTATGATATGGCAGTCCTTTGAAGAGTGTAACAAGTATAAAATTTTGTTAGGTTTAGGGGATAAGGTAGTCCTGCTGGTCGAAAATACAAGATTTATCGTCGATTCAGCTGTTTTAATTGCTAAACCAGATACCATGCTTGGGCGAATGTTCACTTTACGTACTCAACATCAGGAAGGTGCCGAGCTTGTACGACCTAATGATCAGAACGAATATGAAGTTGCAGATGGACTATCAGCTTCATGTTTTCGTGCAGTTCTGGTTTGTTTATCTGTAATCTTTGTTTCTAAAATATATTGTTTACATACATGTAGTATGAGCAGTGTTTTTTCTTTCTAGTGGTGAAGTAGAGATCGTCTTTGTGTTTTCAGGAATATTATCATGTTGGAAAAATGCGCTGTCCATCATCTGTATCGGTTTCAGAGCTTCGTGAGGCCTGTGATTATCTTTTAATACCATTCAATGCCCGTACTGTGCAATGTTACAATCTCCGTTCATTTTTACATGAATTAAGTAATGAAGGCGCTAGGCAACAATTCACAATATTTCTTGAGGAAATCATTTTGCCACAAATGATTGTCAGCACTGAGGTTGAGCTTTTAAATATTGGCAAGATCTATTCTTGATATATATGTGTCTATTAGTTTTCGGCTTTGCTGAATCGTCGAGTGCTGTGTTCAAAAAGAATAAGATAGAGGGTAAAAGGAGAAATCCTCATCTGAAATTATAAATGAAAACAATAATGGAGCTTTAATCATGTTGATAAAGCATGTGAAGGTTTACAAGAGTAAAATTAAAATTTTTGAGCCTCTGTTTGCGTTTAAAATTTAAAGCGCCGGATTTGAACCGTTCAGAAGACGGTTCTGTAGACTAAGGGATTTTCAAGAAAAATGAGAAAGGACAGCGATATACGCAGAAATTCGTTTTAGATCATGAAGGGCACGATACTTTCCTCTCTGAAGCCGAATTTAGGAAGATATTTTCTTAATTGGAAGGCGGCAGAGCCTAATGGAGTCTATAATTTCTTTATTAAAAAGTGCCCCTCCTTGCATCCAGACCTGTACAAAATAGTAAGAAGGATTGTCCGGATGGGTAGGAATAGGATCCGTGGTTTACAAAGGAATTACTTACTTGATTTCGAAAAATGTCCCGATAAAGGAAGCGACTTCAGGCCAGTAACTTGTATGTCGGACCTTTACAAGTTGACAACAATATGTGTAGTATGTATCATACAGCTGGATGTTGCCACGAGGAGCAGATAACCAAACTGTTGTCCAAATTCGAGGTGCGATAGAGCAGGCACTGTTGGACCTGACGGTTTGCGGAGAATATAAGACGGATTGCAAGAATATAAGAATCAACATTGTTTAACGTTGTAAAAGTGTTTGATCCAGTTAATCATGGATACCTGATTAAGTGCATTAAAAGACTTAACATGGCATTGTGGATCAGTAGGTTTCTGAGAAATACCACATCCAGATGGGAGGTTGTACTGAAAATCAATAGAGAAGAAAACAAGACGAAGAATTCTGCAAAGTGATGGCCTTTCTCCGCTGTTTGTCTTGTGCATGGACCCGTTAAGTCGTCGGTTGAATATGAAGTACTCGAAGTTGGCGGATTCAACTGTTCAAGGACTGCATCTAACGAACCATTTATTGTTTGAGGATGATCTCAAGATCTTTCTGATCGGCAAAGATGTCTTGAAATCTATGGCTGAAGGAGCTCAGAAATTTCTAAATGTGGTAGAATTAGAGGTGAATCAAGAGAAGTCAGTAACTAACAACGAGGTATGCACTGCTAAGGCGGCGCTGTTGGAAGGAATTCAAGGTACTTTAGAATAGTGGAAGACAAGACGAGTGCACCTATCCGTGAAAGCTACGATAAAGTGGGAGCAGAGGTTTTCGTGAGTATTAAGCAATTAGACAATACTGTATTAAGTGGCAAGAGCTTTATCAAGGTGGTGAACGCTATCAGTTTAACAAAATATACTGGGATGTTCAAGCTACAACATATACGCGGAATTCAAACTCTAACCGCCATATATATATAAGGATATTTTTATGTTTATATTTATCGATTCATTTGTTATCTATATGTGTTTCATATATTTTTACATACATCATTGAAGATATTTCAAGACATCACACGATAATGGTCATTAAAATTTTAATCGTCTTTAGCATGGTGATCGTGAATGCCACATCGTAGTACTCTTGGATGACGAAATCGTTGACTGGGATGAGCTGTATCCTCCTCATATGGGTGAGGATACAACACAAGTTGTTTATAGCACACAGCTTTATCGTTTTTTCAAGTATGCTGAAAACCGAGATGTAGCAAAACAGGCTTGTTAATTTTTTCACAACAATGAATAATGCTATATTAATTTGTATTGTATTAGTATTCCTTTTCTTTCACTGCGTCATTATTAAGTGTTTATTCTTTTATATGCCATAAATCTAAATTTGATTTTTTAACAGTAAAAGTGATTTGTGGAAGGTATACAAATGTGTCTTACATTCACTTGTTTACCTTTCTTGGCTCAGAACATATTGTTTTTAAATTTTTTCATTGATTGAATATATGACTTCGTTGTTTGATAACTGAAAAATACGCTTACTTTTAGGTTTTGAAAGAACGTGGTCTTAAAAAGATTCGTCTTGGTATGGAGGGTTACCCCACTCATAAAGAGAAAGTAAAACGACGTTTCAACAGAGCTGAAGGTAATCCTTTCAGGTTGTTTCAAGATTGGAAATGTACCAGAAATGATTTTGCTACATTATTTTAGTTATATACAAATACGTTCAGCGTCCATTTGTTCATTGTTCTTGGGAGAAGGAGGAAGCACGTTCCCGACATGTTGATTTTGCATGTCCAATCGTAAAAAGTAAATCCAATCCCAGTTTGGCAAGTGCTGCAAGTGATTCCATTCCTCAGGTGAGTTTCTTATGAAAGAAGTATAAAAATTCAGAAATGATAATGATTAAGCATATTTTAATAAAATGATATTAGTAACGTATTCTATTATATTTAGTGATTCTATGTTGATGATTTGGGAAATTTGCAATACGTCTGATTTTGTTTTGTTAGAGAATAATGTGCTTGTGGTCATAATTTAGCCAAATCCTGTGCAGTTGAACATAGTAGCTTCCGGATCAGTGTTGAATAGTTCTGGAAATTCGTCTTTTACTCTGCCACTTGCGCAGCATTCAATACTTCATAGCACTAGTGATACACATTTCTCTCATCATTTAACTGGCCAAGTTTGTCATGTTTGGAAATTCTTATTTATTGGGATTAATCCAGTGATTCAAAAATTATAAGAATGAATACTATAAGATATTTGTTGATGACACCTTCTATACTTAATTTTCATGCTGTTGGAATCATATGCCGTACATATCATTTCTAGTTCAGTTATTGTTGCTGCACCGATAAATGTGGTTTAATCATTCATTATATAGTTACAGGAATTACATCCTTTACGTTCGCCACCAATGCACAATAGCAGACCAACCTCGATATCAGTTGTTACAGAAGCATCTCAATCTTCTTCAATTAGTCTTAATCAAATAAAGGCTCCTGACAACAAACGATAGTTTGCGCAAATTATTGTTTTCATTTATACCTGAGATTTCTTGTTGTCATGAGCACATGAAATGAAAATTTAGAAAGCAAGGATGCTTTTTTAGTCCTGTGCTAACTGACATGTTCTTTTTTGTATAACAGTGAAATATTTATTCCCCACCATGCATATAGATCCTGTTGGTGGGATAAATTAATGATAGTAGTTTATGTTTCTAAAAATGCGATAGAGTATCAAATTGCTTTGGAAAATCATAGCGCTATTTAATTGTTTTCTTAATGATTTTTTGAGAAATGATTATGAGCAGGTAACTAAGTGTCCATGCTTCATAACAAGTCATCAACATTTCTTTTAAACTTTCATTATATATATGTATAAGCATTTTTATTGCTGTGATGTGTTGAAGGACCATAACCTAGTTATTAATTTTTGTATTTTATCACGCATTAAATTTAACATGCTTTTATTGCTTGTTTGGCCTATAACGAGCTTTTTTTGAAGCTGCTACATAACTTGCGAAAAGTTTAAGCAAGGAAAATTGCTCTAATAAACTATATGAAAATGTAATTCGAAATGTCCTAAAAGTATAAAGTTAAGAAGAGAAAATCGGTGTTACTGAGTAGTAGAAAATTGGAATTCATGTAGGGTAGATTTTTTCAGTTCATTCATGTCCTGTGGATGCTTGTTTTACAACAAGTAACTAAGTATTCTTTCACCTTGCAGTATATTCACGTAAACGTTACCAGGTCTTATGAATTGCGTAAATTTGACAGAGGTTTAATTCATTTGTCAGTGCTTCCTGCCGCATTTAGCTCAGTTTAGGTATTCTCATGCTGCCCTGATGAGCATTTCAACAATTGTTTATTTCCATATCCATCGTAGTCCTAGTCTTCGTTGTGTTGCAGTCTTATTGTTTTGACTAATCTACTTGTTAAATTTCTTTGGATGGTAAATGATAGTCATGACTGGCAAGTTGTTTTTATGGAATTTATTTCTCATGGATTACGAAATTATATTTGAATTCTAGGGAAATCAGGTTTTAAAGGAATATACAGAAGTGCCTTGTCACTGAGTTTTCAGTTAGAGCTGTTTAATCTTAAAACTTTCCAAAAAAAGATTTCGACAAATATATTTTGATACAAAGTAGGGAAAATCCTCTAATGAAGTGCTTGTTGAGAAATACGAATACGTTTCTCAAGACGCTTCTCCCAGTGACAGTCACGATCGTATGGTAAGTCGTCGATAATGTAATGCTCACCGTTTGGTAGTGGTTGCTTACATGCCGCACAGGTGAAACATCTTGGATGCCAATGTTTATCCAGCGCAACCAAACATGAATCGATGAGTAGTTCCCCACATCCTAGGCATTTTTTGCATTTAACTGGCGTATAATTTTATAAAATTTGAGAATTACAGTTTATAAGATTACATCAGGTAGGTAACGCACCATGACATTTCGGATTGTATTTTTTGGCAAAGCATTGCACGCAGTATGGCTTATCATCTGCAGCCTGGAAATTCAGTTTATAATTTTTTAGAGTAAATTCGTTGTTTTTTGTTGACTGTAGACTTTCCTGGTTGGACAATCGCTAAGTAAATACGAATTTTATAATCGACGTACATGTTTGGAGAGGGTGTACATGTATCATACATAAACTTCGCAATGCTGAGAGAATAGTGAGCTTGTGCTTCTCCAACTACATAATGTTCTTGTAGATA